GTATATACTAAAGCAGTTATATATATATGTTAATTATATATACGTGTATATATATATATATATTTTTTTTTGAAGCAGTTTTCTACTGTCTCATAAATCAATTTTTTTTTTATTGTATATAGATGTGTATACATATATATATATATATATATATATATATTTTAAAACAGTTTTCTACTACTTCCACCCTGTGAAAATTTGATTTTCACATATTGGCTCCTCTACACCACTGAACGTAGCCACTGTCGAGCGATGTAATCATGCTGCTGCAGTAATGCCTTCTTCTTCCACCTCTTTTTCTTCCGCCTCTCCTTTTCCAGATCAGAATCCATCTGAAAAACGAGAGACCTGTAGGTTCCCATCTTGACCTCGCGCGGATTAAAGCGGAACTCGAGCAGAGCTTCTGGGAGGTAGCTTTTTCTGGCTAGTTGGCTGAGGCAAACGAGGGAGAGACCTCTAGGGTGTTCATTCTCGACCGCTACTGCTTGAGAAAGAAAGAGAAGGGGAGCAGGTGAACCAGTTCGGTTCAAAATGTTGGCTGGGCCAGTTTGAATTAGATAAGTTAGCGAACCTGGTTTGGTCTGTGTTGTTTGGCCCGATTCAATATCTGGGTTTATTTTTTTATCTGAACTTCAATTCTTTTCTTCTTCATCATGCGGAAGAGAGGTTGGTTGTCTGTCAGGTACGACCCCTTGAACCGTCGGTCTCGCATCTTCCGGAAATGCCTCCGCCAAGCGTTCGAAGTTTTCTTCGGTCCAGTCGGCAGATCTGCCACATAGCAGATCCAGGATCATGCTAAACTACCGCCGCGATTCTTCCATGAAAGCAGTGAGTTTCAGGTCGATCTCCTTCACGGTAATCGCTTTCGGATTCTCCGGCTCTGATACTACTTTGTCAGAAGCCTTTAATATGACTTTCTGATCTTGAGAAAGAAAGAGAGAGGAGAGAGAAATAGAAGAGAAACAAAGAGGAAAATTTGAGAAATAATTTTATTTTTTTTTCTTAATTGATTATAATATAAAGATTGAGTCTTTTATAGGTTATAAGCAATTAAAACAGTTATTATCATGGTTAGAATCAATATAGTGGTGGTGGTTGTGAAAAAAATTTAAAACATAAACTCTAACTCTAACCGGAATTGATACTTGTAAAAGATTAATTTACCTCTTTTATTATTTCTTTCTTTTTTTTACTCTTAATATTCTGATAGTGGATGCTTACCAGGGTGTAGTGCAGAGGTGAGGATAGAGAAGGGCAAGTTGTGGGAGGACTTGGATGAATGAAAATGAGATCTCCCATGGTTAATGGCGGTAACTTTAATATGGTCTTGCGGAAACAGGAAAGATCAAGGGACATTTCTCTTGGATTTGTATGGATGAGTTCATTGGAGACTTTAGATAGATTACAACTATTGGATTTGCCTCTCGTGTGAGGTAAATGAATTTGGTCTAATCAGAGGTTAAACCTAACTTGCTCTAGAGACAGATTTTTTGTGTTAATGACTTGTCAACCTAAAAAATCAAGGCTGTGTCAAAAACTTTTGCTACGCACTATTTCTGGTCACTCCCCATATACTTAGACTCTGATTGGATAAGATGGAGCTCCCGTTCCTTTAGGTTTGGGGATAAATTGTTAAAGTCAACCGGTTCCATGAAAAAAAATAAGAAAATGGTGGTGAGAGGTGATAGTGGAGGGAAATGCTAGTTACAGGGTGGTTAGGAAGTTGGAGGTGGTTAGGCTGAAATTAATAAGTGGTGTAAGGAAGAGCGGGGGAGAGAGGCTATACTCACTTAATCTCGACTCTAGGACCTTAAGGAATTTGACTGTTTGGAGGGGGGGTGGTTTGTTACTAAAGATTTGGTTTGCAAAAAATCTATTAGGCTTGAGTTGGCAAATAGAATGTAAATTGAAGAGATCTCCTGGAGACAAAAACTAAGAGATAGATGGATAAAAGAGAGAGAGAGAAACACAAAATTTTTCCACTTTATGGTCAATCACCACAAGAAATCAATTATGTGGAGGTGTTAGATATTGATGGCATTTGGTGAAGGGGAATGAGGAGTTGAAGGAAGAGGTCAAGTTTTTTTTTTGGCATGCTATACTATGAGGATTTTAGTTGGAGGTCTAAGTTTGGTGGCTCGAATTTTATGTCATTAAATGAACAAAGTCGTGAATCTCTCGAAAGGAGGTTTTCTAAGGAGAAGATTTTAGAACACCTTATGCAGTGTAGAAAGGGCAAAGCTATTGGGCCTGATGGTTCTAACATGGGTTTCCTATAGAAATTTTGGCATATGATTAAGGGTTGCATTGTTGAGCTATTTGATGAGTTTCATGAATTTGGGTACTTAATTAGATGTTTAAACTCTATATTTCCGATGTTTATCCTTAAGGTGGAGGGAGTGACAAGCATCAAAGATTTCATACCAATTAGCTTTGTAGGAAGTATTTATAAACTCATTTTCAAAGTGTTGGCAAGGAGAATCACTAAGGTGATTGGAGGATGGTCAATGAGTGTTAACATGCTTTTGTGGAGAGTAGATAGGTCCTGGATGAGATTCTTGTTGCAAATGAAATCGTGGATGAACAATACAAGAATATTTGAGGGTATCTTTTGCAAACCTGATATTAAGAAAACTTACGATCATATAAACTAAGACTTTCTTGATTACATGCTGGAGCAACTGGTTTTTGGAGACAAATAGCTCAAATGGATTAGCTCATGCATCCTTACGACCTCTTTTGCTGTTATAGTTAATGGGGGGTCCATCTTCTTTCTTTACAGCCTTTAAAGGTATCATATAAGATGATCCTGTCTTCACTCTTCTATTCATCATTATTATGGAAGCATTTAATAGAATGCTTTTGAGGGCTAGAGCTTGAGATATTTAAGGGGTTAAGAGTGGTGATGGTGAGCATGTGGTGGAGGTAACTTTTTTTTTTTTGCTTATAATTCTTTGCTTTTTTGTCAATTAAATGAGAGGACTCTACTTAACTTCAGACGTAATTTTGGGTAAGTTTCTCAAGCGATTTCTGGGCCTCAACATTAACATT